ATAATCACTAATAACGATTTTTATAATAAATTTTTTAGATCTACGCTCTATATTAAATAATTATAAAAAAAAGGCTTTACTTCGCTTTTAATTCCTCTCGTAATACTTAATATTTTTTAATTCTATAAATGTGAAACACTTAATAAAAGTTGTCTTTCTACATTAATAACGTTAGAATTTTACTTATCTTTTAACAACCAACTAAATTTTTCTCGTAAACAGGATCGAATAAATAAGCAACGTTGTCCTGTTATCAATATTAGTTTCGATCTAATAAACGTGGTAATACTAGATATTTCTTTATAAAGATCTGAAAAAAAGGAAAAAGGATCTCTATTTTAACTAAATTTTATTATATACAATAGTTTTTGTTTAATAGTTGACAAACGATCGGTTACAAACATTTAGATTATAACTAAAGAATAGCAATGAAAATTAAAAATAATTTTTTATATTATATAGTTTTCTAGATTAAAACTAGTGGTTATTTTTTATTTCGCCAGGTAAGAAAGCTATTAAGTATTTCATATGTTTTTTCTTCTTTAGAAATATTGTTACTTTCTAACTGCTTATTAACTTCAAAATTTCTGGTACTTCGTCGAATATCTTGCAACATTTCTTGGAAAATTTCTTGCAATCCATCATTTAAACCGGAGAGTTAGATACGCGATTCTTGTAGTTGAGCATCCATGTTAGGGTGAACTTTTATATCATAGCGATTAAATAACCCTTCAAGTTGCTGTTGATGCACCACAATATTTCATATATGAAATTTAACGAATTCATATATTAGGGGAAATTTTACTAGTTCCGCTTTATCAGAATTCGCAAATGTCTCGAATTCTTCAAAAAAATCATACTGTCTTAATGCTTCTAATAATCTAAATGTAGTTGAACATCTATTAGACAAATCTTCCTTCAAAATTTGGATATAAGAAAGTTCTTGCAAGGTGGGAGTTTTTGAAGAATTTTTATTAAAAAAAACATTTAAAACAGCATGGGCAAATTCTGGTTTGTTTTTTCTACCTAATCGACAAATACTTAAAGGTAAGTGAACCCAAACCTCCATCCATTTAACAAATCCATCTAATGCACTCTCTATCCCGGTTCATAATGCTTTATAGAAATTTTCAAAATCTATTGCGTTTAATTCGCATTTGACATCAACTAATTTATCTTCAAACAACCTATAAATGTCTTCTAGATAATATTGAAGCTCTTGAATCCATATTATTATTTTATCTGGCATTTCATGGGCGTGATTGCCCAGAGGGAAGTATCTATATTATTTGAGTGGTGGATTTGTGGAGTTGGATCAAACCTAGTTAAAAAATCATAAACGGGTTCATAAAACCTTTGACCAAATTTAATGAGACATCGTATTTGAAGATTAAGTTGCTTATTTGTAAGCTATTTAAGAAATATTTGCCATTTATATAAGTATGACGTTAGAACATTTGTGGCATTTTTAAGTCGCCCAATGAAAAATTAAGCAAAATTAATATGAACTTCACAATGGTCAAGATATTGTATAGTGGTTTTAAGTTCATATAACCACCATTGACGAATAGGCTGTTGATATTTGCATATCTCAAAATTAAACATTGCTTTATAAAGTTTTTTTAATATTTCCAATTTTAGATTTAACAGACTGTCCTTATCTGAAAGGTTATATCTGTCGTAAAGATGAAAAGCCAGATTAAGTAGATTAAAAAGATGTTCTTTTAAAGACAATTCTTTAATAGAATCTAGCTTTCCAAACACCATATTTTTGAAATTCATTAGGGCAATATGGGTTGCATGTAATCCACAAGGAATTCGGAAAGATTGAGATATTGCTAACGAGTTGAATTTAGCGATAGCGCCATTAGCCTCTGAAGACATATAGGCCGTATTATCAGTTACCCAATAATGCCATTTTTGAGAATCAATCCCTTTCTCTTTACACGTTTCAAATACTGTGGTCGAAACTGTTTCGGCATTACAACATGTTATATCTGTTACTTTTACTATAGTAATTGTTGATTTTAATTTATTAATATCCCAACATGAAAAACAAATAATTAATATTTTTTTTTCTTCTCGTGTGCTTTCGTTAGCCATAATACTATATCCAAAAAACCTAGAAGAAGTGTCTTTAGGAAGATTTTGATTAAGTGACAAAGCCGCTATTTCTTTATTCTATCACGCTAAAGTTTTTGATATTACCCAATGCTATAGCATCTCTCCAGTCAAGAATTGATAAATTGCCCTAGTGCATTCCACAGTCGCATGTATAAAGGTTTGTCCTATATTACTAATATCAGTTGCTAATTTCACAAAGCTTGCATTATATTCTTTTTTATTAATTTTAAATAATTTGTTAGCAGCACGACGAAATTGGGCAGGCCAGATTTTTTTTGCTTTACGAATTGATGAATGAATTTTTAAAACTTGTCTTTGTTTCAATTGTTTTGTCCTTGCTACCTGTTTAGAAAACGAACGAAGCTAAGTGTGGATTTTAAGTTTATCTTTTTTTAAACGCTGATTCTCTTGTATTAAATTTTTATTTTCTAATTCTAACGTGACGATAGTATGACCTTTTTGATATAAACTAGTGTCAATAAAGTTACATGCCTTGGTTTGTAAATAGATAGAGATTATCTTTCCTTTATTAATTCCTTGAGAGTAGGTTATAGTTTGAAACAGGCTTAGCATATTGAATAGTTGTTGGTCAGATAAGTTACAAGCATGTATAATTATATCATTATGTTTTCTTTGAGCACCAGCATCCATTTCTCGAGACTTGACGATTTTTTTTATCATAGAATTAAAATTATCGTCATTTATATGTTCGAATGATGGAATTAGATAATCAAGCAGTTGTTTTTGAATGAAAGTGTTCATTTTTCTGGATTCAAGGATTTTTTTTATCAAGATGCTAAAGTCATTGTCGTTTAATTGTAAGAATTTTGGAATTAGATAATCAAGCAATATTGGAGGATTATTTATTATAGTTTGTATTTTTTTATTTGGTCATATTCCTGTAAATCTCTAATCTTCTTAAGATACTTATTTTGTGATTTTAATCGACCCATTCTAGTAATATTATCATTGTAAGATATGTTTTTTATAAGATTTGGCTAACACGAAATATTTGTCTTTAGTACTATTCGTCAGGTACCTAGTCGATAGAGATGTGAAGATTTGACTGAATCTGTTATTTTAATCGTTAGGCTACAATTTTAAGAAAATATTGAAATAGTTTATTTGTATTTAAAATTTTTAAAATTTTTACTATGATTAGGAAAGTACAAACAAGTCGATTACTATCTCTCTCTTTGGTCTTTTTATATATTTCAAAGCATCAGAAACTGCAAAATCATGAATTACAAAAAACAAAATCAATAATTACAAAATAGGTTCATATTGGGATATATTATTTATTAAAGAATAATTAATTGAAATTTAGCGAGCTAATGATCATTGTTCACTTTGACGTTTAGTATAATATAGATATATGACTCCTTTTACTACAACATGCTTATTATTACAAAATCCGTATTGGAATTTATTATTTATTAAAGAATAATAATTTGGATTTAGTGTTAATTGCATTATTCGCTTTGGCATTAAGTACAGCATAGATATATAATGCTTTTTACTACAACACGCTTATTTAAATTAGTGTATATTTGGTTTAAGTCTTTTTTATTATTAAAATAAAAAAAGGCACTATTAAGCAAACATATAAAACTGAAGTCACGATACTTAAAACTTGTATTATTTAATTCTTTAATT